TTCCTTCATATATTTGGTAACCTGAGACATGAAATAATAAACTTTGTATTAAATATGTTCCATTCCTTAATTAAAGATTTCAGATTTTGCAGAAATTGTACTTAAAACTAAAACATACACAAGCAAAAGTCTTTGACTGATTCTATGGCCTCGGGAATTGTCATGTTCCTTGCACTGAATGGGCATTTTACCTCCAAAACTTCTGGTTTTACAGCCATGCACTCAAGTAGGTCTGTTAATTCTACATCTTGGTAGTTGTAATTGTGTGTGGCTGCACGACGAATAATTCCATAGGGGCTGGCTCCTAATATGCCACTCTCATGTAGCCATACACCTGTATAAAAAAAAAGTTTGGTTATTTTCAAGTTCAATTCCAATATTTTTTTTTTTTAAATGTTTAAATTATGTCTTGTCCTTAAAAATGTTTAAGAGTCCTGTGGGCTATATTATAAAATACATTTAAGCACATGTACTTACAAGTTTCCTCTACAATAGCATCTCCAAATGAACAGATTTTGTCCTAGCAGTAGACTCATTGCTGATGCCCCACAATATGGCATCCTTTGTCGACAGATTGTATGAGGCAAAGATTTGCTTATATAATGATGGTGGGAATCTGAAAAATATATCAACAATTCCTCAGTTGAAAGAAAATTATATACTTAACTTTTACAAGGTGATTACTTGTATAAAATATGTTTACTTTATTATTGGAGAAAAAAGAATGCACTACCTCTGTCTTCTTATCGCAGACAGTACTACACCAAAATTTTATGCAGTTAATCGGTTTTTTTTAACCAAAGCCCAGAGATGATTTGTTCGTTGACCAGATGTAATTTGTGCCACCTGCAAAGGTATTTGGTTCTATATAGTTAAGTAATAAATATTTTGTGTAAAAATGAAATATGGAAGATATTCATGACTTTCAATTTAATATTTATTTTCAAAGCTGCATACATTTTTGATATATCTTTTTGAAGATATGTCATGTACAACATGTACAACATTTAATTTAATCCTCTCTCTTGAAAGAGAATTAGTATATTTGAATCAGTTGACACATGAGTATTGTGCCATCATTATAAAAAAATTGATTGATATACTCTGACTCACATTTTTCAAAATGGGTAGGTATGTAAATAGTATGTACTTTTTTATTTATCTAACACATTGATAACCATCATAAAAAAATCACAGACTTGGAAATTTACTGATGTGTGCGTTATACACTTGAAATCTATATAGACAGATTTATTGCTACTTTCAATCTTCAAATGTCTTAAGGAAGTGATTAACCTAACTTTTAAAAAATGACTTTGTGATCTGGTCAATCTGATCTGTATTTTCAACAGAGACTAAAAGAAGGGAAAAATTAAAAATATGTGTACCACAAAAAAAGAATGGGTAGGGACAATTCCTACAGGTCAGTCAAAGTTCATCAAACAGTTGGCATTGTTATGCATAATTATCCGATTTAATCTGATTCAAAGTATTTATAATTAGGGCCCTGCTCTGCGGGTGCCCTATAGTGATCAGTCTGTCCGTCCGTCTGTCCGTCCAAGATCTCTTGTCCGGAGCATATCTTCTCTCTCCTTGGCCCAATCTGGCTCATACTTCACCCACAGAGTGTCTTTGGGTAAAGGGTGTGCAGTGACCTTAACCATGTTTCTAGGTCTAAGGTCAAGGTCATAGCAGAATTATATGAAAAATCCTTGTCCGGAGCATATCTTCTCTCCTCTTGATCCAATATGGCTCATACATCACTCACAGAGTGCCACTGGTCAATGGATGTGCAGTGACCTTGAACAAAGTTTTTAGGTCAAGGGTCAAGGTCAAAAATAGCCTCTCTACTTAAATCCTTGTCCGGAGCATATCTTCTCTCTCCTTGGCCCAATCTGGCTTATACTTCACCGACTGAGTGTCTTTGGGTAAAGGGTGTGCAGTGACCTTGAATCATGTTTCTAAGTCTAAGGTCAAGGTCATAGCATAATTATATGAAAAATCCTTGTCCGGAGCATATCTTCTTTCCTCTTGATCCAATGTGGCTCATACTTCACTTACAGAGTGCCACTGGTCAATGGATGTGCAGTGACCTTTGGGTAAAGGGTGTGCAGTGACCATGAACCATGTTTCTAGGTCTAAGGTTAAGGTCATAGCAGAATTATACGAAAAGTCCTTGTCCAGAGCATAACTTCTCTCCCCTTGGTCCAATGTGGCTCATACTTCACTCACAGAGTGCCACTTGTCAGTGGATGTGCAGTGACCTTGAACAAAGTTTCTAGGTCAAGGGTCAATTTCAAAAATAGCTTCTCTGTTTAAAATCTTTGTTCGGTGCATAATTTCTTTCCCTTAAGTCCAGTCAGCCTCAAACCTTACCAATTGACTTAGGGTACGGATCATTTGTGATTTTCCTTCCATATTTCTGATAGAGGATATGCAACAATTTTCATTGAGGATATGCAGCATTCGTGATTTTTGTGCCGTTTTTTGATGGAAGGTGTTGAGCACTCGTGATTTTCATGCCATTTTTTATTATAACGAGGATAACATAGAAGCACTTTAGACTCAAACAACATATCCCTTAATAGTACACAAATGTTCCTCTTCAAAATAAACCCTTTTAGCTACCTTACATTTCCATGTTCATTGCTGAAAGCGGGGTCCTTTGAGATGGCCACCATCTCAATGATATCTAGTTGATAATGATTTTAGATTATATTGATATAAATGTATTACTTGTTCTATCTGCTGCTTTGATACACTCAGGTTTGTCTTAAGCCACTGCACTTTATTGGTCGCACTTGTGTAACCTTCTGTTAACAGGAGATACTCTACACATGGAACATCCACTTTTGGAGCAGGGGGTTCATCAGAAACTATCCATTGCATGGCTAAGAATTTGAATAAATTGATATGAATGATTGATATGAGTATATTTTATTAATCTAAAATGATATGGTTATGGTTTGATTTCAAATAATAAAATGTGATATGCTATCAAATATCAATAATTCAACATTTTCTCATTATATTCAAATGCTTCAGGAACAGAAATCAAATGATTCAAATATATAAATATTAAAACAATCATTCAGAAATAAGATATCATTTTTAGATTTCATTTGGATATTACATGATGTTGGTCATGTGATCAAATCCTATAATGCCCAAAGGGTGTTATAGTAGATTTGATATGTACCAACTTTATGTCATTAATCAAAAAAAAAAACTAAAAAAAATGATATTTTTATATTCTTTATATTTTGATTTGTGTCACAAAGAAAAAAAATGCACATTTTAGACTTGGTTAACATCATGTACATGTATGACATCATGTGATGTCACAGTTTAAACCTTCCAAATATCTTATGCACTTTGCTTTCAATACCCAAGAAAGCTGATAGTGACCAACTTCATGTCAACAAAAACTGAATGAAAATTTTGTTAGTATATCATATAACATGTATAAGGAAACACATTGGCAAATGTAAATATTTTCAAATGAACAAAGAACAAAACATGTTTCAACATTATTTTTTTTCCAAATCAAGACCTGAAAATCGACCAAGGTCATTCAGCTTTTCCCGTAAGAAATTTATATCTCTCTCGTCAACTGATCTTGATGTTGCCCTGTCAATGTAATATGATTTATTCTGCTTTAAATAGAATGCAGAAGTATTCTAAAAAATCTACATGTAAGTTTTGTTTTGTTTTCTTTTCCATTTACATAATTCATGTATACCTGAAGTTAGCTAGTTTTGGTGTAGGAGGAAATAGCTCATCCATTGTCCTGACTTTCTTAGGTGGTCTACTCTTAGGGTGTTTAATCCAAGATTCTCGTATGTATGTCTTGCTTACATTCTTATATCTAAATGAAGATGAATTACATTTATAAAATGAACAAAAATGTTCATTTATAATTGTTTTTATTGCAAAGAAAATGCATACCCATATAACAGAAGAGAGGCTTTGTGGTGGCACTTATCCTGACCATTAACACAGTCACAAATACTATCTTCAACCGTGTAATTTTCCCCGAGTGTGATCTAAATATAATATGGAACTACTGAAAATAATTTCATTTATGTACTTATATTATTCACGTCAAATATCAAATTATTTGGTACATACGTTAACATGATAGCTTCTATCCCTCATGCTGGCTTGCACTCTTCCCTGGACGTGTCTCAGCTCAGCATCGTACACAAATTTTAGTACGTGGTCAGATTTTAAGGCCAGTTCAGACTTCTTTTTAGTTCCTGATACAAAATTTAACCAATACAGAATGGAAAATGCCATTCTGTTTCAGTAAAAACAAGAAATCAATCTTATTAGAGATAATGCCAATGTATGACACGGATTAGTTCGTTTCACGCCAAATCTCGCGAACTCTCGTACTTCCGCTTTCTCGCCCTATTGGCCACAAGATTCAACATTACCACTCCACAAATCTCAAAAATCTTCACAACATGGATCAAGATACTATCCAAATTTCTTGGTAACCTTGCGTTCAGTCCATCTAAAGAAGTAGTGCGCGAAAATCTACCACCATCTTTTGGAAGCAAAAAATATTCATCTGTGTGCCATATCATAGATTGAACTGAGGTATTTTTAGAGAAACCACAAAACCTAGAAGTGCAGACAAAAACATGGTCCGATTACAAACATCATCACACCGCCAAGTTTTTGGTCAGCATCAATGTTGATGAAATGCAGTATATTTGGAACGGGATCGGAATTCTAGTCGGGTTCGTTGTACAATGTATTGTTTGGTATGTGTATTGAATAAAACGCATGTTGACCGTTGTGTATTGTGTCCTTGCGTTGTCGTCCAGATAGCACGAATTAACATGGTGGCAGCGGTGTGTGGACTCTGAAAACGTCTCAACAATCCAAATCAGCATTTGCAAGGTGACTGTTTACGATTACAAACTGCTATTTGTACACGTAAATTTTGACTTCTTGTGCAACCACGTGCGTCCGCCATTTGCATATGAAACATGGGTGAGGCAGAACCAACCCCAGTGCAGGTATATAACTGTCCTTTTCGATTACCGCCAGAGTTAGAATTGACAACAGGAAACGTCTCAGAAAATTTTAAGAAATGGAAAAGGCAGGTCGAGGTGTATCTCACAGCTTCCGGTGGCACGGACAAGGCCAAAGAAGTGCAGGTAGCCATAATTCTCAGTTGTGGAGGCCCCCACGTGGTAGAAATTTATGACCAATTCAAGTGGGAAAATGGTGATGATAAGAATGACCCTGACAAACTGTTTGAGAAATTACAATCCTATTGTAACCCCAGATCAAATGAAGTACTTGAATCTCACAGATTTTGGAAGCTCCCATACCAAGATCCATTTGATAGTTTTCTCACAGATCTGAAGACACGTGCTGCATCATGCAACTTTAAGGAACCAGACAGAATGATGAGAGACAAAATAGTGTTCACGGTTACTGGCAAGTTACAGGAACTTCTACTCAGAGAGGACAAACTTACACTGGAAAGAACAATCCAAGTATGTAGGGCGTATGAACAATCAAACAGACAAGTAAAGGAGCTACGTGAAACCACTCTAAAAGTGAACAAGATACAGAAATCTAATGACAAGTACATGCATGGTAAACAGAAAATAGAGAAAAAGAAGGAAATTCCAAAGACTAAACAAACTCAATATAAGAAAAAAGACTGTGAATTCTGTTTGTACAAGCACGAACCAGGTAAACAGAAATGTCCAGCATGGGGAAAATGTTGTGAACAGTGTGGTGGAAGGAATCACTTTAAAGCAAAGTGTAAGAAGATACACTCAGTTAGTCAAGAACAAGAATTCAATGAGGACCAGTGGTTGAAAGCTGTTAGTTCTGGTGGCAAGGAAGTAACTGCAATCAAGCGAATTAATGATTGTGACATTAGATTTCAACTTGATAGTGCCGCAGATGTTAATACAATTTCTCAGTCCTATGTCCGCGAGGAACAATGCAAGCCTACCAAAACCTTGTTGAACATGTGGAATAGGACAAATATGAAGCCACTTGGTGAGGCAAATCTGACAGTTATCAATCCACGTACAAATGAGAAACTCCAACTCAGATTCATTGTTGTTCCAAATCAGTACACATGTTTACTTGGACTTGAAGCTGTGCAGAAATTGAAGTTGATTACTATAAATGATGAGAGATTCATAGCCAGTTTGTCAAGCAGCGACCTAGGCGATCTGGGAACAGCACATCTACATGTCGACCCAGATGTGAAACCCAAAGCTCTTCCCTGCAGGAAGATCCCTATCGCACTCCAGAGTTTGGTACGAGAGGAACTTCAAAAACTTGAAGATAGAGGAGTACTAATTCCGATAACAGAACCTACTCCTTGGGTCAGCCAGATGGCTATTGCTCGTAAAGCCAACGGAAAACTAAGATTGTGTATTGACCCACAAGCACTTAACACAGCCTTGATGAGAGAACATTATCGCCTGCCTGTTCTCGATGACATTCTACCGCAGCTCAGTAAGGCAAGAACCTTCACAAAACTTGACGTGAAAGAGGCTCTTTGGCATGTAAAGTTGGACGAGGAATCCAGCAGACTAACGACAATGATAACACCTTTTGGAAGGTATAGATGTGGAAGACTACCTTTCGGACTAAAGGTATCAAGTGAAATATTCCAGAGAAAACTGGATGAAGTGTTTGGAAACATGACAGGTGTTTTCAGCGTGGTGGACAACATCATCATAGCCGGCTGTGGAGCAAACAACAAACAAGCTCAACAAGACCACGATCTAAAATTACAAAAGGTTTTTGAAATATGTGAGGAGAGACACATCATTTTGAATAAAGAAAAACAAGAGATTGGGCTCAAAGAAATATCATTTCATGGACATGTCATTTCCAGAGAAGGAGTGAAAATTGATGACAAGAAAGTAAGAACCATAAATGACATGCAGCCTCCTACAGATGTTTCAGGAATCAAGAGACTGTGTGGCATGGTCCAATACATGGCAAAGTTCCTTCCTGACCTTTCGACCATATTGGAACCGCTCAGAGAACTTACTCGCAAAGATAAGGCCTGGCATTGGTCTAAGGATTGTGAATCAGCATTTCAGAAAATCAAGAAGATGCTGACAGAAACCCCTGTGCTAGCTTACTTTGATCCTGGAAAGGAGGTAGTAGTACAAGTGGACAGTAGTAAAGATAGCATTGGTGCAGTTCTCCTTCAGGACGGCAGACCGGTGGAGTATGCTTCTAGATCACTCACAGCATCTGAGAGGAACTGGGCGCAGATCGAGAAAGAAGCGTTATCTGTGTTATATGGTCTGGAACGCTTTGACCAGTATACATATGGCCGTAATGTGATAATACAAAATGACCATAAACCCTTAGAGGCCATCCTGAAGAAACCTCTTGCAATGGCACCGAAGCGACTACAGGACATCATGATGAGATGGAACCGGTATGATTTTGACTTTGTGTATGTCAAGGGAACGAAGCTCGAAATTGCAGATACTTTGAGTCGTGCATATCTGAAGAGTGATGAGGGTAACTTTAGTGAAAGAATGAGAATCATGTCATTGAAGAGTGATGAACCATGTGACATCCCTGATGCTCGCCTTCTCGAAATAAAAGAGGCAACAGAGGTTGACGAAGAATTGCAAATTCTCAAGGAAATGGTGATGAACGGGTGGCCGGAGCAGAAACATGAAACGCCACTGGGAATTCGCCATTACTTTGACTTTAGAGACACTATATCACATAGTGATGGACTGATGCTTAAAGGGGAAGCTGTTATGATTCCTAAATCTTTGAGAAATGAGATGAAGGCAAGGCTTCACAAGGCCCATTTTGGATATGATAGTATGTTAAGAAGGGCACGAGGAACGATATTTTGGCCGGGGATGAATTCAGAAATTAAGCAGTTGGCTGACTGTTGTTCAATATGTCAAGAAAGAAAACCAATGAACCAAAAGGCTCCACTAATGCAGCATCCAGAAGGATCTACTCCATGGCAGAAAATAGGACTTGATCTGTTTGAGCTGAATGGAAAACATTATTTGATCGCAGTGGACTATTTCTCTAATTTTATTGAAATCGATTTGATGACGTCCATGACAAGCTCCAGAGTAATAGCTGTACTTAAGAAACACTTTGCTCGATTTGGAGTTCCAAATGTAATCATGTCTGATGGTGGACCACAGTTTCCAAGATTTTGCAAAAAAGTGGGATATCACTCACATTACATCATCACCTATGCATCAACAGGCCAATGGCAAAGCTGAGTCAGTTGTTAAAATCATGAAGACACTGTTAGAGAAATGTGAAGTGGAGAAGACAGATCCTTATGAAGCAATTCTGGAACAAAGAAATACACCAAAACAAGACACTGGTGTTAGTCCTGCGGAAGTCATGTTTAACAGAAAAGTACGTGGTATGATGCCATATTTTCCACAGAAATACATCAAACCAGAAAGTCTTGCAATCACCAGAAAGAGGAACCAACGCAGACAGGCAGTAAAGAAATCGTTTGACAGGAAGTCTCGTGAGCAGAGTGAATTGGATATTGGTCAAGCGGAATTCTTCCAGCATCTAGAGGGACGCAACTGGAAACTCGGAAAAATCAATGGTATTCTCGGACCACGGACATACATTGTCAAGGACCAGAATGGAACCATATATCGTAGGAATAGAATTCATGTGCGACCTACCAAAGTCAACTTTTACAGTCGAGACTGCTCACCAATGCGTTCAGTCACAGAATATAATTCAGATGACACACAGAGGAACACTTTAACAGGTCCTAAGCCTATGAACGAACCGAACTCTACTGTTGGTGTAAGTGAACTAGAGACACCGTCCATAGAACCGACTGTACCGACATCAGCTGAACCGCTCCATGAAGGAAGACCTGTTCGCGAAAGGAGAAAACCAGCCTATCTGAAGGACTATGTTACCTGTTAATGGACTTTGTACTGTGAATTAAGTCGCATGATTCTCTAGTCATTTATGTACATGTATTTTGCAAATGATCATTTAGTGTATGTAGTCCAGATGCTTACCATTTCAGTGTCATTTAGTACTAGATAAGTGCATTATTCATTTTATGTGTGTCAAGTGATCAAGTGTATTTTACTTATCAGAATTGATGTCTTAAAAATTTTTTGCAAATTTTCTAACTAAAGAAAAGGGGATGTTGATGAAATGCAGTATATTTGGAACGGGATCGGAATTCTAGTCGGGTTCGTTGTACAATGTATTGTTTGGTATGTGTATTGAATAAAACGCATGTTGACCGTTGTGTATTGTGTCCTTGCGTTGTCGTCCAGATAGCACGAATTAACAATCAACCCATCTGGGATGATTAATTTTGTTTAAGACTGTTGGGGAGGTAGAACCAGTGATAAGTACATCACAAATCGATCTGGTTTCTACAGTCTGATTGAACCCTATGGTGTCATCATGGCCGACAGAGGATTTCAAATCAAAGAAGGAGTTACTCTTCTTTATGCCAATTTGATGGTCCCATCCGGACGTATAGGAGCTTGTCAAATGTCAGCTAATGAAGTACAGCAAACAAAACAAATAGCGAACAGGCGTATATACATATATGTTGAGCAAGCCATTCGCAGAATGAAGTATTTCAGAATTCTGAAGCATGAAGAGCCTGCTACTTTATTTCAGCACTTAGATGATATAACTAAAACTGTTGCAGGCATTTGCAACTTATATCCTCCCTTGCCTAAGTACCAATAAAATATTAAAAAATTTTCTTTCATGTATAGCAACTACATGAACAAGTGAAATTGTTTTGTGTCGATAACTTTTCTATTCAAAGTCACATTTTTTATTGAATTGAACAACAAACAAACAAACAATGTAAAAATATTTATCAATCACTATGAATTAATACTTTATTCTCCATTTACCAATACTAATAATTCAGTTGGATGTAGAACATTCAAAACAAATCCACTTTTCTTTCGCTTTAGTACTGTTTGTGTAATAATTACACATTTAAAATGAAACCACAAACTGCATTCATCGCAAGCAATGTTTCTGTCACTATAGGATGTAATGTTTCTTTTTAAATAAAAATAAAAAATAAATCGAGAACTGTTGCTAGTACCTACAAATGTACATCAACATCCAAAGGTTCTACACATTCTTTACATTCTTTAAATTTACCTTGTAACAGTTCTGGTACAATATAATCAGTGAAATATAAAACAAAATTTGGCAACAAATGTTTCAAGTATGCATCCTGATCAAATGTAATTCTACATTGCAAATGGCAATTTTTTGTGTATACACATAAATCACACCAATTGCGACCTGTAATGCTAAACTGAATCTGAGCAAAATATGCATGATTTTTTTTTAAAACAAAAGACATCATCTGAAATTGTAACATAATCTGGAAGATTTTCAGGACAAACACAAAAAGATTTACATTTGTAACACTCAGGTACAAGAGGACACTTAACTTCAAGAAGACCATCTCCACAACATGAACAAGAAACCAGTAAGTCTGGAGTGGCACTAAGAAAAATATATTTCTTTCTATAGAGAGACCCATGTTCTATTAATAGCAGATGTTATATAATGTTTTCCTCCGTGTTTGTGACGTCACAATGTGAAATGACGTCAATATGTAGTTGACTCGTGACAAAAAAATGGTTGACTCAGTCGTACTCGAGTAACGAACGACTGTAAAGTTTAACGTATATTTCGGAAATTCCTTTGCAGTAGAATATGATAATTCGTACAAGGCTTACGAAGACAAAAGACTTATCAGAAGTTCAATCATTTATTGGATTAATTGTTTTAGTGAAGGCAAGGGATGGTTAAAAATGATGTTTGTTCTCTTGCCCAGCGGAAGCAAGCCGGTAAAAAGATGTGTCCTTAGTTGAGCAATTTGTTTTGAAAGATCGCAAGTTACAATTCGAAAAATAGTTGAATATCTGAACAATAATATTATTATTAAATCCCTAAAATATCGTTTACTTTAGACTTTAAACATATGAGGTATGAAAAAAGAAGGTTTTCCACATAGGATAAACGACGCTCCAGAGAACTCGGGTTGTGATGATCACCATGCTAATTCTGGGAAAGGATATCCTTAAATTATCCACCAATCCTATTGCCGAGATTCGGCCATTCGTTCTTGTTATAAAAATAATTTGCATGGTAAGAAATATAAGACTCGGAAAAATCTCTAAGCTTGAATGAACAGACCGCTACGGATCATGTCACGTGACCGCCTGGATCACGTGATTCGTGTATGGGCAAAACAATGGCAGATGTGCATTGAAATCGGAGAGGACTACTTTAGAAAATAATGAACAATGAAACCTCATTTTATTTCTTTTAAGGAAGTAATTCAATTAGTGTGCGATCTTTTTGATCACCCCTCGTACCTTTGAATAAACAGGCCTCGGGGACACCTCCACGGAGTGCAATGGTAAAAACTCAAATATGGTGTTGTTGGATTCCTTAATTTCAAGAGGGTTGTACTTTTTTCAGTAGCCACCAGGGGTCTGCTTATAGCTACAAAAGTAAATTATTTATAAACACAAAAAAATTAACAATCACTTAAAAAATACTAAGCCTTTCACTGTTACTTTTGTTGTAAGATGAAATGGGAAAAAAAGCATCTAGAGATATTTAAAAATTGTATGTATTTCAAGAATACTGTAATACTGCAGAACATCAGGACAAACAATTAATTAAACAATAATAATGGAAATTTGAGATTAAATGAGATACCATTTTTTGCTCGAGAAGATTTCTTCAGGCTGGTACACAAGGCCGACATTTTCTAGGGCTCCAAATCCTTCATTGCCTTTGCATGCACCCAACCACATTTGTCCATGATACATAAAGTTTGCCCATACCGATTTGCAGCCTCGATGCGAAAAAGCAATGCAGCTACATGGGTACATGCTTGCCCCAGTCTACAATATTAATTTCATACATGTTCATCTATAATAACACGTAAGACACATACTTTTAATTGCATTTTGGTTTCTAAATTTTATGTTAATCAATTTGGCTATTAGAGAACTGAAATGAATTACGTTGTAAATTTTTCATACTTTGCAGTACATGTGCAGCAGGCTCCCAAAACTTCACCATCCTCTTCTGATATTGCTGCCCAGAAGTCATGTAAATCATATCGAATCCTTTGGGAGGGGGTGCACTTAGCTCTTAAGATGCATTTCTTTTCACCTGTCAAATGGTAGTAAAAACTTCTTGGAGTCAGCCACTTGTAAAATATTCGTAAGCTTTGCCAACCTTGTAATCCTTGAGAAGTGAATTAGTAAGGGATACATCTCCATGCTTCAATAAAAACTGTGTAATGTCAGACAAAAATGTTGATGGCCAATTATCTATAGCACTCTTCTCGTCCATCAATCCCTTGTATATCATCAGGGGGTCTTGGATTCCACAAGCAGACAAAATACTTTAATAACACTTAGCATTAAGTTCTAAAACATCACAAGCCGTTGGAATAATAGGTAGATTTAACTTGCAAGCAGAAACACGGAGAGCTACAAGTTCTTCTTATTAAGTACCTTCCTTAGACAGACCCCTCTTGGTTAAATAAGCCTTCAAGTTCCCTGTTTTCCACGATTGGAATTCTTGTAAGGTATAAATCTGATCTCCAGGATGCATAATGAAAGAATTTATATCAAAGGTATATACGGAAAATAGTTCAAAATATAGTAATTCGATAAATGAAAATATCCGGGTAATTCCGCTCAATTGTTTTAGCAATATGGCCGCTTAGGTTGAAAACGTTTACCCCGATTGACCTTTGACACGGGCCGCTTATAGCATATTATTGAGGAATGTGAAAGTCGTCTATTCGACGATCAAAATGCCTTTTTTATTCCCGAGTATCAAGTACTTACCAATACTTATGAACAGGTATAAATTTACATTTAAACATTTGGGAAGTTTCGTATTTACCTCTTCTTCCTCGAATCCGCAGACGACAATAATATTTTTATTAATTTTGATCCCGATTAAAACAGAATCACAGAGATGAATTTTGAACCCGATGAAAATTGACTCCGACAGTTTGACAACGGTTCCTACGTATTTATGTGACAGATTTTCCATAAAAAAAATCCCAAATATTTAAGAATTTTAGTATTCTGAACCTTTTATTTACACAGTTTTACAATATTTAAATGTGTCACAAAAATAATGCTATAAAGCGAAAAATTGAAGCAAACTCTTTTTCAGGTATTTCTCTAATAGAAAGTATGGATGCATT